CTCACTGCAGGAGATTCAGTCGGTGTAATCCAGGCACTTCCAACATGGCTGATAACAAAACTAAAGACTGAAATGGACACAAAACAGAACAAGGGTTAATACTGCGACTCTGATGGAAAATAAAAAACGAATGGAACGATTCATTTCAAGTAGTTTTTAAACTGAGAAAAAAGGCGGGAAAACACTATGGCTTAGTAGAAGATATCACTATACAGGAAGCGGTGAAATGATATAACTCATTTTTAGGTTTAATAAAAGGGAAATAGAATAAAGAACGAAAAATATGTTTTTTTTATTGTCGAAATTTACATGTAATGCCATTTTTCTTTCCTTTCATTTTCAGGAATTGTATGGGCAAGTATTGCGCTTTCATTGTGGAAACGTTTATTAAGATGAAAGAATCAGTAACTGCAACACAAAGAGCATCCAGGCTTGATAGACATGATCAAGTACCTACTCGAAACACAATTTTGTTATGGGCTACTGTTGTGGGTCCCGGGATGAAATCCGGTCTCCAATGAATGACAAACGCGGGAATGAAATATAACAAATAAATGTATTGACGTAATAATACAATTGGTAATACGGTTAGTAGATCCAGAAATGCGGTTAGTAGCAATAATAATATATATATATATATATACAGTCTGGGAAATTCAGTATCGAAGTATGACTTCCTTCTGAGTCTACGTGCTCGCAACTGTTGACTCCTACAAAGCGGTTACCTCACACTCTCACACTCTCACTCTCTCACCCTCTGGGTATTCACCGGCAGCAGTACAAGTACACACTGGGCGAGTCCACTTGTATGAAAAAGGGGTGGACCCCTTAACAGTTACCAACTACAGAACTAGTTGATCTGCATTGAAACGAAAATCAACTGGTTGACATCGGACCGCCAGAACTGCGGAAAATGGGGCAGCGGTAAAACCTTCAGTTAAACAGTTCCTTGAGCTGGCTAGATGTAACCGTAAATTCTATGCTAACAGTTTCTTTTCAGGCACTTCTTGTTTGTGGAACTCCCTTCCGGCTACATACTTTCCAGCCAACTTTAATCTGCAAAAATTTAAATACAATATCAATCGGTACCTTCTGTTCTCCTGGTTACTATTTTCTCTTTTCGCTCATTAATAAACTGAGAAAAAAGAGGGAAAAAATTATGACTTAGTAGAAAAGATCACTATAGAGGGTGTGGGAAAATGCTATGAGCCATTTTTATGTTTGATAAAAATGAAATAGACTAAAGAACGAAAAATGTGTTTTTATTTTCGAAATTGACATGTTTTCTTTCCTTTCATTTTCATTTGCCAAAAGGAATTGAATTGGTGAGCATTGCGCTTTCATTGTGGAAACGTTTATCAAGTACAGTGAATCGGTAACTGCAGCACAAAGAGCGTTCCGTGTGCACTTAAGGCTTGATAGACATGATCAAGTACCTACTCGAAACACGATTTTGTTATGGGCTACCAACTACAGAACTAGTGGATCTGCATTGACACCATAATCAACCGTCCGATCTCAGACCGCCAGAACTCTGGAAAATGTGGCTTCGGTAAGAACTGCAGTTAAACAGTCTCTATAACGTTCGACATGCAAACACACTGATTTAATTTTTAAAACGAAATCAAACAAAATGAAATTATATGTTCCTTTCGAAAATAAAAGACGTTTTTTAATTCTTTACTCTTTTTCGCTTTTATTAACCAAATGTCTCAGATCATTTTGCCGTAAAATCATCCCATGCATGGGAGTAAAGCCACTAAGACACAATGGGGTTATTGGGTGTGGAAGAATTAGGAACAGAAACATTATTAATGAGCGAAAAGAGTAAATATTAATCAAGAGAACAGTAAGTAGCGATTGACATTGCATTTAAATTTTTGCAGGTTTTTAAAGTTGGTGGGAAAGCATGGAGCCGGAAGGAAATTCAACGAGAAAGAATTGAGAAAAGAAACTGTTAGCATAGAATTTACGGTTCAAACTAGCCAGATCAAGAGACTGTTTAACTGAAGGTTTTACCGCTGCCACATTTTCCGGAGTTCAAGAACGGTAAAACACACTAGAGCCTGGTTTATTGTTCACGACTAGTAATTAGGAACGTGAACTCTTACGTAGCGTCTTAAGAAGCTGCTTTGATCAGCAGTTGCATAATATCGGGGTTCTTTCAGTGTTATATCGCGCATGGAAGGGTGACCCTGTGCGAAATTCTAGTGGGCAAACCTGAGCCCACATTAGGTTGCAGTATGCGCCCTTTACTTTCTGCTCATGTGGCCTACGACAGACGTCTGCTACTATGAAATTAGACCTTTTCCTTACCAATATAATTACAGATGACCATAAGGAACCAAAAGTATAAACCTAAAGCAGCTAAAAAAATCACCTAAACCCTTTAACATTTCCTTCTCCAACATCCGTTGTATTTTTATCCACTTGTGAAGTGTGGAAACGTTCTTCGAAATGTCTCCTGGTATACTAGCTCTCTGCGAGACTAACATTAACTTGCCAATCCCCTCCTCTGATTTCTCGATTCTCGGGTTACCTTCTTAGAAAAAACTCTAAAATCCACATGCATAGCCTGGGATTTTATGCCCGCGATCATCTCCCGCTGGTTAGGGAACTCTCTTTACTATCTCCAGACCATTCGTATATATGTCGTTGTCTATCTCTGTTATACTAGAACATACCCATTCTATTGTTAATAGTCGCCAGGGAGCTCAGTGAGTTGGTCAGTCAGACGATGTCGGACATTAAAGTATCAATCACCACAACTAGATTGCTGCGTCATTAACTATTATTTCAAGTTCCTAACGTTTTGTACGTCGAACTTAATTTAGGACCGACTTAGTGAAATGCAAGCCTCCACTGTGAAAACTACTCTACAACAGAAATGAAGGTCGCCCTAAACGGGTTTTACTACAGTTCCTTTCACATGAACGCTGATGTTTCAAAGGCTCTATCCTGGGTCTTATACTGTTTCTGATCTTCATCAAGGATCTTCCTGATGTCCGCAGGTCTCAAGTAGGAATCTACGCAGACAATACTACCATTTACTTCTGTCCCGTAAATCCTGAATTGCTGACAAAATTAACCTGGCTAATTAATCTTAAAAAGACCCTTCAATCTGTGGTTCACTGTGACTGGAAATGGCTTGTAAACTTTAATGGTTCCAAAACAAAACTGATCACACTATAGAGAACCATTCCTGACTTCTATTAGCATGACTGATGCGAGAGCATCTCTGCGATTTCTTGGACTTGCGTTTTCCACTGACCTGAGGTAGAACAACTACATTGAATCAACAGCTACATCTACTGCAGGGAAAATTGGTTCTCTGTATCGCACCAGAAGGTTTTTTCTCGTCTGAGTCCCTCCTTCTAATCTACAAATATATCATTCGTCCTTCCATTGAATACTGTTACCATATATGGTCCGGTACTCCCGCTGTTCCTCTCGAGGTTGTTCAAAGATTGGCTGCCACCGAAGGCAACGTTATTTTATTTAGCCAATAACTGGAAGAAAACGGAATCATTTAATTTCTATCGGACATTTGCGTGAAATAAACGAAAGAGAATTAACTGACATTTGAATTCGCCTCTGCGAGTGGATGTTCCATTCCGATAATCGAAGAAAAAGAAGAGAGAGAGAAGTAGAAGAAAAAAGAAGGAAGAAAACGGCGAAGAAGAAAACAAAGAAGAAGAAGAGAGACAGAAGTAGAAGAAAAAGAAGGAAGAACAGGAGGAAGAAGAAAAAGAAGAAGAATAAGAAGAGAAAGAGAAAGAGAAGAACAAAGAAGGAAGAAAAGGGGGAAGAAGAAAACAAAGAAGAAAAAGAAGAGAGAGAGAAGTAGAAGAAAAATAAGGAAGAACAGGAGGAAGAAGAAAAAGAAGAAGAAGAAGAGAGAGAGAGAGAAGTAGAAGAGCAAAGAAGGAAGAAAAGGAGGAAGAAGAAAACGAAGAAGAATAAGAAGAGAGAGAGAAAGAGAAGAACAAATAAGGAAGAAAAGGGGGAAGAAGAAAACAAAGAAGAAAAAGAAGAGAGAGAGAAGTAGAAGAAAAAGAAGGAAGAAAAAAGGGGAAGGGGAAGAAGAAAACGAAGAAGAAGAAGAAGAAGAAGAAGAAGCCACGATCAAAGAACGTTAATGAAATCTTTTTTGATAGTTTTGATATATATCTATATAAACATCATTACCCTCACGCATGGATCGAAAGTACTTCCTGGGATCAGCGAATTGGTACGCTCTAATAAAGATCAAATATTTGCCTGCTAGCCTTGCGTTTGACCGCCTTTCTAACTAATAAAATAAAAATTATACATTTTCAACATTTTCTGCTGTGTTCCAATAAATCCTACATTGTATCAATGAGATACATTTGATTTGGGTTGTGTCTCGACTTATCTCTACGTCCTAGTGGTTTACCGCATTTAGGCATGGAATTGACAGTCACCATGCAGTGTAGATTCCTGCGTATACCGTCTATATCTATAAACACTCTATCACCGCAGTTGAATACTCTTCCCCGATAAATATAGGAAATTTTTAAACAATATATATATATATATATATATATATATATATATATATATATATATATATATATATATATATAGATAGATAGATAGATTTTAGATAGATTTGATAGAAATATATATATATATATATATTTCTATCAATCTAACTATATATATATATATCGGAAACTTTCTGTATTTTCAATTAATTTTAGCTTATATATTTTAAGTTATATATACATACACATATATATATATATATATATATATATATATATATATATAGATAGATAGATAGATAGATAGATAGATTGATAGAAACAGTGGCATATATATATATATATATATATATATATATATATATATATATAAAGAGAGAGAGAGAGAGAGAGAGAGAAGAATACCTATAAATCTCGCCTGATATCTAGCTATTGAGATATTTTGAAGGGTCTGAAATAAAAGATAAACAACAGACTTAAATAGGTATATAGCTATGTAACGGTAGATAGATAGATAGATAGATAGATAGATAGATAGATAGAAACTGTGGCAAATAGATAGATAGATAGATAGATAGATAGATAGATAGATAGATAGATAGATAATGACCAGACTGGGATAGATAGATAGATAGATAGATAGATAGATAGATAGCGAGTGAGTGAGTCAATGAGAGAGAGTGAGTGAGAGAGAGAGTGAGTGAAAATGTCTTCATGTGAAACCAACAAAAATGATAAAATAAATGTTCGACCAAACACAAGGTTTTCTTTTGCGATGCTAAAGGATTATGAATTCAATCTAATTTGAAAAGCCTAAATTCCTAAAGACACGGAAGGTGATCTCAATATTTCCCTAGCATTTGCACCTGCAAAATTAGCGTGAAATTTCCAGAGGCACCAGAGAGATTGAGTGAGAAAGTGAAAGAGCAAGACAGAGAGAGAGAGAGCTGGGGGGGTGTGGAGAAAGAGAGATAAAGAAAACTGAACTGAGATTAAAAGAGTGATTGTTGGAAAGAGACAAGACGTAAACAGAGAGAGAGAGAGAGAGAGAGAGACAGAGACAGAGACAGAGAGGAGGATTTAAACGTGGAGTAGAAAAACATAATGAAACAAAATAGAAAAAGAGAGAGAAAGAGATAGTAAGCGAGAAAGAAGATTAATTAGAGAGGGATAAGACCACTTATAAATTTATAAAAGAAAAGAAAGTGAGAAAGAACGAAAGAAAAACAGAGAGAGAGAGAGAGAGAGAAAAAAAATACGAATAATGAGTGATAAAGAACAATAAGCACAAAGAAGGGGGAGACGCAGAAAGAACGTATGAAAGAAAGAAACCGACACAGACAAAGAAAAAAAAAATGAAGGAGAGAGAGAGAGAAGAGGGGCAGATAAATGGTAGTAAGCAGAAAGAAAGTGAAGACAAAGAAAAATTAAACTAAAAGAAAGAAAGAAAGAAAGAAAGAAAGAAAGAAAGAAATGGCTATGGAGAATGAAAGGAAATAATTCTAAAGAAACGGAAATTAAGAGTAAAGAAGAAAAAAACACGATAAAAGAGATGAAAAAAGAAAGAAAGAATAGAAAGAAAAAGGTAGGAAGAATGAAAGGAAATAACTCCAACGAATAGAAAAGGAAGAGTTAAAAAAGAAGAAAGAAAAAAAAAACACGAGAAAACATATAAAGAAAAAAGAGTGTGAAAGAATGAAAAGAATAAAAATAGAGTTAACGAGAGGTAAAGGAAAATAAAGGGAAATAAATAAATAAATAAATAAATAAAAAAGAAAGAAAGAAATGTCTCGGAAGAATGAAAGGAAATAATTCTAAACAGACGGAAACGAAGAGTAAAGAAGAAAAAAAGAAAGAAAAAACACGATAAAAGAAATGAAAAAAGAAAGAAAGAAAGAAAGAAAGAAAGAACGAAAGAAAGAAAGAAAGAACGAAAGAAAGAAAGAAAGAAATGGCTAGGAAGAATGAAAGGAAATAATTCTAAAGAGACGGAAACGAAGAGTAAAGAAGAAAAAAAAACAAAGAAAAAACACGATAAAAGAAAGAAAGAAAGAAAGAAAGAACGAAAGAAAGAAAGAAAGAAAGAACGAAAGAACGAAAGAAAGAAAGAAAGAAATGGCTAGGAAGAATGAAAGGAAATAATTCTAAACAGACGGAAACGAAGAGTAAAGAAGAAAAAAAAAGAAAGAAAAAACACGATAAAAGAAATGAAAAAAGAAAGAAAGAAAGAAAGAACGAAAGAAAGAAAGAAAGAACGAAAGAAAGAAAGAAAGAAATGGCTAGGAAGAATGAAAGGAAATAATTCTAAACAGACGGAAACGAAGAGTAAAGAAGAAAAAAAAGAAAGAAAAAACACGATAAAAGAAATGAAAAAAGAAAGAAAGAAAGAAAGAACGAAAGAAAGAAAGAAAGAAAGAAAGAAAGAAAGAAAGAAAGAAAGAACGAAATAAAGAAAGAAAGAACGAAAGAAAGAAAGAAAGAAATGGCTAGGAAGAATGAAAGGAAATAATTCTAAACAGACGGAAACGAAGAGTAAAGAAGAAGAAAGAAGAAAGAAAAAACACGATAAAAGAAATGAAAAAGAAAGAAAGAAAGAAAGAAAGAAAAGAAAGAAAAATGTAAAATGAAAAAGATAGAAATGAAGAGAGAATAGAGAAAGAGAGGGTGAGGGGGGAAGGTAGTTGAAAAAGAAAAAAAAATTCAAAATCTGAGGTAAAGCTAAAACCTTGATGCACAAAGAAATCTGAAATTGAAAACCGCACATTCGCATTTTCCATATTTCTCTTTGATATTCACGCCACCTGGCGGTAACACTTTAAATTTCAAACAGACATTCCACCACCCACCCCGTCCCTAAACCAGGTAACATTGAACTTATTTTAATGTCGGTTAAGAATACCCCACCATTACTACCACCACCCTCAATAACATTTTTTTTTATTTTAAACTTTGTTAAAAGTTATTTTTCCATCAGCTTCGTATATTGTTGTTCTCTTCGGAATCGACATTATACGTAATATATATTCTCCAAGCGTTGCAATTCAGATTTTGACGGCGTAGCTCAATGGTGATAGAAATGGCCAGAACTTCGAGGTCATCGGTACTACAGAGTAAAACTGTAGCCTCTCATGAGAGCAACCAGATATCGAACATTAACGAGGAGGGTATCAGGTGCTCTACACATTCGACATTATGCCACATCTAAGCTACACTTAGAAAATCATGTGAGAATGTGGTGTAACGCTTAGCAAGCTTGTCTCGCTAGATCAGTTATGACTGAATAGTGAGTTCGATCCTCTTTTGGGGATCCATACTTTAAGCCTTGTGCCATATCTATCAAAATAGTACCTTAGAATGTCTGACGCTCAACTTCTCGGGAGCACCTCTCTGGGGCTGCTCGATCTCATGTGGACTGCTGACCTAAGATGGAACAAATACATTGAGTCAATTACTTCGTCCACCGCAAGGAAAGTTGGCTCCTTGTGCCGCATCAGGAAATTTTTCTCCCTGGAATCGATCCTCCAGATCTACAAATCAACAATTCGCCCTTGCATGGAGTATTGCTGCCATATATGGTCTGGAGCCCCTTCTGTTTGCCTCGGGGTTCTTGATAAGCTCCAGAGGCAGATATGCAATATAAATGGCCCTGTTCTGGCATCTCGTCTACAGTCACTTTCTCACAGACGCGCCGTCGCCTCTCTCTGTCCGTTTTACAAATAGTTTCGTGGCAATTGCTCCGAGGAGCTGCATTCGCTGGTTTCCAGACTTCATGAATTCAAGCTCCCTACGAGGCTGGCATCCCGCTCTCACCCTTTCACTGTCGAAACTCCTAAATGTAGCCATGTCTTCTACTCTAATAGCTTCATGCCTCGCACCTCTCGCCTGTGGAACTCCCTTCCCTATTCCAGTTTCCCTGAGAGCTATAATCTTCAGCTATTCAAATGTAATGTCAATCGACATCTCCAGTTGCCTTGATGTATCCACTACCCTTCTCCTCATCCTTTCTTCTATCACTCCTATCTGATCTTACTCTTCTGTGATACCTTGCGTCCTAGTGGCTTCTCGCCTTGCTTGGGGTGAAACGCTTAAAAAAAAAGTACTTGTTCTGCTCGTGCTGCTACCATCTCACAAGTTGCGTCTCTGTCTTCGGGTAGAGCGCAACTGAAAAAAATTATTTAGAGGTTCCTGGTCCCGAGAAACTGATGCCGGAGGCTATGTCCCATTCATTACTTTGGGGTCGGTAGCAATTTTTGGTCCTGGCTCGGGTGTACTCGCTCGGATGTCCAACGTGAAACCGACCTTGTGTCACACCTTGTCACTGTGGGTAGACGAATAAATATCTAAAACGTTAGAGGCACTTTCACATGATGTAATGGTTAGCGACATAGATCAGTTACAACTGAGTAGTGAGTTCGATACTCACGGAGTGCCCCATATTTTCTGCCTTGTGCCACATCTAAGTTATACTTAGAAAAGCACAATGACGGGCACTTGTGTTGTAATGACCAGCAAGATTGTCTTGCAAATCATTTACGACTGAGTAGTGCGTTCGATCATCACTGCGTACTCCAAACTTTTGGCCTTTTGCCACATTTAAGCTACGCTTAATAAGTCGCTATAATATTAGCGAAATAATAAAAAAAAGATGCATTCTTCTTCTCTGATTTGTCTTGGTTAATCATAGCTCTCCACAGCTTCCTATCTTTTATAGCTCTTAGGAATGTTTGCATTTTGACTATCACTCCCCTCCGTCTTGTGAATGTCGATTTCTTCAAGCCGTCTTTCCTCAGCTATGCGCTCCAAGATATTAATTTTCTCTTTCTGATTCTGTTTCCATTTTCCTTAAAAATTCCTCGCTTACGGCCACGTTACGTTGCAACACCGATTCCCGTACGATCACCGAGAGGTAAGCAAGGTCGAGCCTGGCCAGTATCTAGATGAGTGACCGATTGTAAATGCCAGGTGCTGCAAGCTTGGATGTGCGGGTGGTGTAATGCATAATGGCCCAGAATTGCTAATCAGAGAGCCGAGTTCCAATTCCAGCCAGGGTCGTTATATTCACAGGCGAAAATAAAATTGGGAAAGGTATGAATTCACGTCTTCTCCTTCCAGCTATGGGTTAATTAGTAAGACTTTTATCACTATACAGTTACAACCTCTACAAAAAAAAAATTCTTAGAATCTAACAATATTTTCTGGCTTTAAATAACCTGCAAAGTTTTTTTTAAAGAAAGTAGAACACAAATTAAAACTTCGTCCTTGCGAACATATTCATTCAATAGAATTCTCAGTATCCTTCTGTAGAACCTAAGCAAGCCAATAAATAACTCCGACGCAGTATTTTACTGTGTGTTAGAAAATATGAGAAAATTACTATTAAGAAGAAAGGTCAATAAAAGTACAAGAATTCAGCAGATAACGATTGACATTGCATTAGATTTTTTGAAGCTCAAAGTTGAGTGGGAAGCAAGAAGCCGGAAGAGAGTTCCACATGGGAGAAGGGTGATAGAAGAAACTGTTAGCATAGAACTTACGGTTACGTCTAACTTAAATGAAAAGAGTTGGATGAGTCTAATGTTGATTACGAAGGTACGGCAGCTCGGAAAACTCAGTCCGATCGATATGAAAATGTGTTGGTGAAGGTCTCGGACTTAACACGGAGGCTTGCAACAAGTGCCACGAGGAGGAATTGCTCATCTGTGTCAAGAGGGTGACTGCTGGAAGGCCCTATGTCTGACAACAGGACTTACAAGCAAGTAAACACATTCATGATTATCAGACAATTTCTGCGACCACATCACCTCTTACATCTGGCCGATAAAATCCCCAGCCTGCAACCCCCTTGATTACTATGTGGGAGGCGCATTTGAACGAGAGAAAGAAAAAAAACTTCTTGTAATACCAAAGATGAACTGACGGCAAGGATTATGACAGCATTCACCAACTTAAACAAGGAGAACCTCCTAAAGAGTTGCAGGAGATTCCGATGTCGTCTGGAGGTTGAAACCAATGGTGATTTTATTGAATAAATCAACTCTTTAGTGTTTCAAGAGAGTTTTGTGTAATTTTGGTAAATATATCTGTTAAAATGAGATATCAGTGATATTTTCATTTTTGCGTAATTTAGACGTCAATTTATGCATCACGGACTCTCCACATAGTAATTTTCCAAGCGTAGCTTGGATGTGGCACAAGGCCGAAAGTAAGGGGCACCCAGTGAGTATCGAACTTACTACTTAGTCGTAATTGTTCTAGTGACACAAGCTCGCTAACCATTACACCACCTAGCGGTGCTCCGCCCTCTCCATATATTTTAAACATTCTTGTGACATACTTGTATATTTCAGTGGGTTTTTGAAAACGTTTTCATACGCAACTCAGTTTTAGAATTCACCGGTTCCCGTAAGATCACCGAAGTTAAGCAACGTCGAGTCAGGCCAGTAACTCCGCAGTGACCTCTGGGGTGTTCTGGGTGCTGTTAGCATGGATGTACGGGTGGTGTAATGGATAATGGCTCGGAATTGTTAATCAGAGAGCCGAGTTCCAATTCCAGTTGGGTTCGTTATATTCAATTTTGCGCAAATACTCTCAAAGCCATGGCAAACACTCAGTCTTCCAAGACTGACCGCAACCCCCCAAACGCAAGTAATTTCACTTGTTCTTCCACAATATAGCTATTTGTGCCATGTTATAATTCTTATTACCTAAACAATAATACTGAACAATTTTTTAAACATTAAAGTATATTTAATCACATCTTCTTACTAGCTGTCGGGATCTGTTAATCAGTTCACCCTAATCAAGGCGATAACGCCACTAAAGCTCAAAGGGCTACCGGAAGTGAAAGAGAAGGAAAAGAGTTTAGAAGGAACCGGAAACCAAATAATAGTATGAATTTCAGTGAGGTTTCGTGGAAACCCAATCATAAACAAGAAACAAGGGATACACTTCTACTCTTCTTTAGAAGACCGGTGAGGAGCGTGAGCCGGACGATTGGCTAACCTATTGACTTCTATTAAGAGTCATTCTAGAATTTTCTTAGGTTTGTTTATCACGGATGTGCGGGTAGTGTAATGATTAGCGGCTCGAAATCGGCGAGACGGATTCGAATACTAGTCGAGTTCCTCAGGTTCACTTACGCACTAATAACTTAAGAGAATGAAGTTACCTTATTCACAAGGCCGCAACAACTAAGCGCTTATTTTACCAATATGTTTATATTTCGAATACGTGATCATGTTTTTTTTTTCTATTCTATCTTCATAGTATTAGATATAATAGCTTTAAACTCTCTCAGATCCAGTATGGCCAGTATACCCAACTATCAGCTAAATAGTAGGATAGATTCAATGTTGCAGCCTTGATTAGAAGCCATTCTAAGCGAAGGAAGAGTTCCCAACCGCGTGGACAGAACCCGTTAGCGCAGGAACTCGTGGTTGTCCAAAGCACTGCTTCTCACCCTTTTTCAGACCGTGGACCATTTTTTTCTTCAAAAAATTCAAAGGGATCACTCGTACTTCTTTTTTGTGAAATGGCTACAAAGTTTTTATGGCTACGAATACTCTGTGGACCATTAGAAATGATATGTGGGCCACGTTGAGAATACTTGGTCTAAAGGAACGGAAAAACCCCAACAGAAAAGCAAGGCTCTCTTCGAATACAAAGGTTGGCCGCGGGGTGCCAATCACGTCACCCCCTTGATTACAGTCGATTACAGAAACCTCACCAAAAACTTTATGAGCCACGAAGCGCCAGACAGATAAAAATCGCCATATCACGGATATACTAACAACTATATGGGACATTGGACAGGAGAGAACACATTTATATTCTGTATTTTCAAGCATTCCATTAGAGCAAATCTGGAATAAAGAGACTGGAAGACCTGGGTGATGCGGGTTGTTTTTTTTTTAATAAAAAAAAGCTGAAAAAAGGTCATGTGAAAGCCACATTCAGACAGTACATTAGCCCATTCAATGGCGTCTTCTTGTCTACTGAATAACCCTACGGCAGAATGTTCACGCCAGCGCAGTAAAGTCTCCTCTGACGATTTGCAGGATATCAAAACCACATAAACGCTTCCCGTGAAAGTCAAAATAGCTAGGTACTTTCCGGACATATGTCACTTAAAAAAAATAAAAAATAAAAAAAAAATAAAGCAAACAACTTTTAACGTCATGTTAACTTATTCCATGCGGGGAAAAATGTGCAAATTCCTTCGAGGGAACATTGTTTATTATGACGAATATTTTGTCAAGCTTATTTATTTGTATTGTTTTAATTGCAGTTATTTAAACTTTTATTCAACATTAAATAGCTTTAAAAGAATGAAGTTACCATATTCACTAGGCCGCAACAGTTAAGCGCGTATTTAGCTATATATTTATATTCCGTATACCAGACGTGATCATCTTGTTTTTTTTTCTATTTTATCTTCATAGTATTAGATATAATAGCTTTAGACCCTCTGTCAGATGCAGTATGGCCAGGCGTTATTAAATGTCACTGGTATTTCTTTCTTTTTACTCTCTATTGTTTATTTTTCATCGCAATTGTAATTTTGTTATTATTCTTCTTATTTTTCATCGCAATTGTAATTTTCTTCTTCTTCTTCTTCTTCTTCTTCTTCTTCTAATAATAATAATCCTGTAATTTGTTGTTGTTGTCCTTCTTCTATTTTTTATTCTTTTTCTTCTTCTTCTTCTTCTTCTGCTTATTTTTCATCGCAATTGTAATTTTGTTATTGTTCTTTTTCTTCTGCTTATATTTAATTGCAACTGAAATTTTCTGCTCCTTCTTTTCTTCTTCTTTTTCTTGTTCTTGTTCTTCTTCTTCTTATAATAATAATAATAATCATCCTGTAATTTGTTGTTGTTGTCCTTCTATTTTTTCTTCTTCTTCTTCTTCTTCTTCTTCTTCTTCTGCTTATTTTTCATCGCAACTTTAATTTTGTTATTGGTCTTCTTCTATTTCTTATGCTTATTTTTCATCTTCACCGTAATTTTCCTGTTGTTGTTTTTCTTTTTCTTCTTTTTCTTTTTCTTCTTTTTCTTTTGTTTCTTCTTTTTCTTCTTTTACTTATTTTCATCGAAACTGTAATTTTGTTCTTGTTGTTGTTCTTCTTTTCTTCTTCTTTTCTTCTTCTTCTTCTACTTCTTCTTCTTCTCTGAGCCGATACCTGTGAAGACGTTGGCGATCATAACTCTTCATAATTTGTAGTCCTCTGTAGCTTTGTAATAAATTTTATTTTTTTGTTATCTCTTATACGATCGTTAATAAGCAGAACTGATCGGAAATGACGAGTTATAAATTAATAATTTTTTCTGTTCATCTACACAATCAACAACTCCATTATTTCTTTTTTTTTTTTTTTTGCTTTTTTTTTGTTATGCTTCTTTTTCTGTCACGGTTTTTCCATCTTCTACATTTTTTCTTTTTTTGTAATTTTCTTTCTTTTTTTTGTTTGATTCTTTCTTCTCGTCATACTTTATTTTCCGATAACACATCTTTCTTTCATCCTACACATTTTTCTCGTTCTTTCTTTTTTCTTTCTTTCCTTCTTTCTTCCTTTATCTATTTTCTACATATTTTTGTATGAATATTTTTTCTTTCTTTTTTCTTTTTCTGCATATCTTCGTATCGACATTCTTCTTTCTCCTCCTTTCTTTTTTTTATTCTTTCTTCCTTTCTTTCATTCATTTTTTTAAATATCACTCTTATCGACATTCATCTTTCTTTTTCGTTCTTTCTTTTCTTTTCGTTCTTTGTTTGTTTCTTTCTTTCTTCCACACATCTCTCGTACCGATATTCTTCTTTCTTTCTTTCTTTCTTTCTTTCTTTCTTTCTTTCTTTCTTCATATCTTAGTACCGACATTCTTCTCATTCTTTCTTGCTTCCTTTCTTTTTCTTTCTTCTGTATATCTTCGTATTGACATACTTTATTTGTTTCTTTCTTTTCCATTATCCTTCAATCAACAGCCTTTCTTTCTTTCTCCCATTTTTTTTTTTTTCCTTTCTTTCATTCTTTCTTTGTTTTCTTTCTCTTCATTCGTTGTTTTCCTTTCTTTCTTTCATTCTTTGCTTCATTCTCTCTCACTTTCTCTCTTTCTTTCTCTCTTACTTTCTTTCTTTCTTTCTTTCTCACCTACATCAACGTTCCTTTTTTTTTTTAAATTCTCATTTACCTTCCTTCCCTTTTTCCACCACTGATAATCATGTCCCAACAAAGTTCCCCATTTTCCTCAGCATTTCACCTCCCCGTAACCCGAGTTCATAAACACAGAAGAAAAGTCTCTTTTTGACAATCTCCCTTCTAAAAAACAAAACAAAAAAAAAAAAAACGAAAACAAAAAAGACAAGCTTTAACTTAAGCAAAAAAAAATTTACATAGAACTCTATGAAATATACATACTGATATATTCTTCAAACAACGCTAATGAAATTCCTGTCGGCTTTTCATCTTACAAACAATGATGATAGACTCTCTGTAAAGCAAATTCAATGTCATAGGCTAATCAACCGCAAAATAGATATTTACTCTGTGTACAAGGGTTAAACTCCCACGTAAAACGAAGCAACAAATGAATAGTAATGGATACAACAAACAGACGCTGGGAAAATAACCCCAAAACTTTAGAATAAATGACATAGCGACAAACAAGACAAAACCAGTCGAAAAGAATATACGTCCACAAAGGAAAAAAATGTGAACAAAACTAAGAGAAAGTTTTAGGAAGAATTTCGAAATAACGATACCGGTTAGTACCTTTTTATAATCCAAGCCCCACCTCCACAGCTCAAAATTAAATCACAATATATCTGAAGATCTTTAGATATACAAAGTGAAGCCTTAACGAGAATCGATTTTCAGCTACAAATTCTTTTCACTCTTCTCCCTAAAATTCCAAATTGTCCCTTTTGTGGCGCGCGCAAACTCATTGGTCAAATTCACTGGTTTTTATATAGGTCGCCACTCGTGAATAACCGTTTATTAAGGCGGCTAGACAATCCCTATTGCAGACGCTTACTCAGGTACATTGGTGTTTGTTCAACAAAAACTATTCAACTCAATTGTTTATTCAACAAAAATTATTCAACTTAAAATTATTCAACTGAAATTAAAAGTGGAAATGTATAGCTGGCCACTCGTATTCGAGGATAACCGTCTATTAGGGCGGCTAGACAATCCCTACTGCAGACGCTTACTCAGGCACACTTGTGTTTGCCCACCCGGCAATCATGCTGAACAGAGCTTAGTCACAGTTTCTGAGAAAGAACGTATTTCCTAGCGTGATCAACAATTTGAACAAGGACAGTACGCTCAAGCCTTCAGACACGATGACTTGTTACTTCGGGCAAGCAAAGCTATCGACGTCCATTAAGGGTTCCGTCTACCCAATTTCACTCACAAGTCTTGGGTCAACCCGTGGTATATTTTTCAGGTACTTTCCAAGCGTGCCACACGCTAGGATCTACCCCGCTACTGCTATAACATCAAGAAGCCTCCTTTCTGACAAATCGACCATGGTGAGATTCGAACCCGGGTCTCATGGTTAGAACGTTCGCATTCTAACCACGAGATTCCGGGTTCGAATGCGAACGTTCTTTCGGCCACTGGTCTAAACAGAATATGAAATACAGGCACGTAGAAGGGAAACCGTTTTTCTTTAGTAAATGTTCACCTAATACAATGCCTAAGAGCCACTCGAGATAGAGATTTATTGAGTCAGGTTGTTGTGTGCAGTTTATGCGGATGCGTAGGATAGATAACGGTTGGCCCTAGATTTTTCGGAGTAGACCTGGCGTCGACCCTCCTTCTCTAGATCAGACCACAGCCGATGTCCTCCGGCTCGATCAGGGTCGTGTTGATTCTGTTGGTTAGACCCTTTGCCTTGGCTGTTGAATTCGGTGGAGGTAGCCTTCCACCCAACGAAGCTGCAAAAAGAAAATGTCTTAAAGAATTTCTGTGTAAAAGAGAAAAAAGAGAAAACTTAATGAAATGAATATATCTAAAAAAAAAAAAAAAAACAAGAACAAAAACAAAACAAAAAAACGAAAACAAAAAAACGAAAACAAAAAAACGGTTTAAATAAAAATGGAAAAACAAAGATAGAAAATATTTCTTAGGAGAAGTATTTATCAGGAGATATGAATTAATATATTTTGATAGAGATCCAGCCTTAGCTGTTAAAATCATTCAAAAAGAAAAAAACAGTGTTCTGTGAAAGTTGGTCTTCGTGAAAGAGAATATCACTTGAATCTGGCGATAATAGACGGAATCTTTTAAAGAAAGCGTCTAAAAACGTACCTTAAAAAAAGAATCTTACAAAGGCACCCTAAAAGAAAAAAAAATCATTTTTAAAAGCAGCTTTAAAAATCACCTAAATAAAGAAAGTTTTTTTTCTTGCAAAAATATTTCTGAAGAAAATTCTTAAAGCACTTTTCTGAAACAAAGTCACCAGAAAAAAAAAAAAAAAACATCTCGCTGAAAAAGATATTTTCTTTGAAAAAAATTATTCGTTTATAAATCTAACAACTTTCGCTTTTATATAAGCTTCATCAGAATATGATGGAAATTTTTTTTTATAGAAGATGGCAGTTGATGCTACACATAAATTTTTGAAAATTTTAGTTATCAAGGAAGCAAGAAAGAAGAAGTGCGTTCCACGGTCGGGAAGTGCGAGAAAATAAACTTTGGAATAGAAGTAGCGGTTACATATAACTATTTCAAGAGTAAATGAATGGGACCTAGGTGCCAATCTAGTAGAATGCTTAAATTCAAGTAGTCGGGGTACCAGGGAAAAAAGCTCGCCAGAAGCACTTGCCATGAAAATATTTGTAGAAAAAACAAAGTGAAGCCACATTACATATGTGGGAAAGTGAGTTAAGTAGAGATACCGGGTTAGTATCCTTCTTTGGCTTTTGTCGAGGACTACGAGATAAACAGCCGGGGCACCAGGCCAGATACGGCTACAGTATTCGATACACGGATGAATGATAGATTTGTAGATGTGTAAGATGGACTGTGACAAGGGAAAACCGTCTGGCACGAGAGAGAACCAACACTCCTTGTAAGAGATGCAGCTATTGATTCAATGTATGCATTATTCGGACTATTAAACTTACAAGTCTTCGGGTCCTGTCACTTGATATAACCAACGCCTTTATCTACTGTGCCATGTGTCCTTAATACCTGGTTAAGAGAACTCACTGAGGTGAATAACTGATAACTGACATCCATTAGCACATGGAACTAGAACAGTTTACCCTAGCGAGAGAAATAAAGGGTTCAGTTCGACATTCCCACCACCTAAAGAAGGTCGAAACGTTGTAATAAATAT